TTGGGGTTGTTTTGTTTTTTTTTTTGTTGTGGGGGGGTGGGGGGGTGGGTGTTTGCTAATGAGCATATCTAGAAAACTACTTTCAGAACAAAACCACTCACAGTGTAGCTCAAATGAGGAATGTCTATTTTTTTTTTAAAAAAGGCATTTTTAAACATTTCAATCTTTAATTTTTTTCAAACAAAATTCCAGATGGTTAGTTTGAGAAATTTTAATGAGAATTAAGTTTCCAGTAGAATCAAATCAGTTATATGGGAAGCACTGTGGCAATCAAAGCTGTACGGAGAAAGTATGTACATTTTTTTAGGAAAACAAATGTATCCTTTTGCCTTCTGTGAGCATTGCAGGAGTAAGTAATTTTCTAGTATCAGTCAAAATAAGAAGTTAAACCCCATCGAACTGAAAGTAAAACTTTTAGATAATTATAATGATAAAGCATTTTGGACAAGCTTTTTGGGGATGTGGCAAATCATCATTACAAAGACTGTAAAAGGACAGTATGTGTTTCAGTGAAAATATGTTCAGACAGGTGAATCTGAAAATAAGCACTCCGATATGAACTACAAGTTTATATATAAAAAAGTTGTTGCTGATAGGTTGCACTGTACACTCCATTGAATTCAGTACCAAAATATCCAGTTTGCAATTGACAGGTGGAAAGAAATAGCTTGACTAGCCTGTAGGAGAGCAATAAATGAAAATACCATGATGTTTTCTTGGCAGGCAGGGGCTCTGCGCGTCCTGATTAGGGATTGCTCCAGAAATAGACCACAAGCACCTGGTGAGGCAGAAGACAACTACATGCGCATTCATAATGCATGCACTTCTCGTGCACTCTCACAGATTTGTTTAAATGATTCCCCAAGAATATGGAAGACGCATCCCTCTGGACCCACCAAAGGCTGCCAAGCTGTGAGATGGGAGGTGGCCCTTTTCTCTCGGAAGCGGTGAGCGGCCCTGTGGTCGAGCAGGGCTCTCACGGGCACATGGTGGAAGACGGGAGCTCACGTCCCAGCCCCGTGCTGCCTGGCAGCCGGCAGCGGGCAGTGCACAAAAGCACTCTTGCTCCAAACCCCGGGAACACACGAAGCCCTGCAAGCGTAGAGGCAGTGGGCTTTGGTCATTTCCACAGAGCAAAGCTCGGTGCATCCCCAGCCTCTTCATTCGGACTTGCACCATCTCCAGAGGACAGCTCTGCTTCACACCCAGCCTGAGCTGCCTTCAGAAGCACCGCGGCAGAGCTCACGCTACTGAAAGGTCAGCTCTACGTCATCGGGTGTGCATCTCATGGAGGGAGAGATGCAAAAGAGTCAAAGAAATGTGTGCTCTGTAAGGCTTGTTCAATGGAGAAAGCTACTCTTTTTTTCTTGTAGTTCCCGCTCTCTTCTTTCCCTGTGTCACCCACGTCAGAGCCAGAAAGAAAAGGAGCCTCTGTCCTTCCAAGAAATGAATTCTCTCTTTGTCTCTTCCATTAATTTTGCATCAGAGAAGGATTCCACTGTTTTTCTGCTTTTTCTCTTTAGCTTCTTGTAATGTCTCTTGACTGAATGTTAGCGAGACCGTTCAGTTAACTGAACCAAACGATAAACAAAGCTAAGTCTGATACTAACACCTTTGCTTTTGAAGAAGGAAAAGGTGAGAAATGTTTCAAAAAGGTTTTTTGAACTGAACTTGATAGCAGGCTCTGAGATGTGAATTGATTTAAAGACACAGATTTAAAACTCTGCATTATTCTATTGTATCCCTTACTCTTGAACAAGGGGAGTGGAAAAAATGTTAAAGAACAAATTGAGAATTTATTTGGGAATTACATTCATAAGTTTCTGACTCCTGACCAGAGTATTGAAAAGACTTAGAGAAAGAAAGTGGAGGCTAGAGGGAAAACAAACAAAAAAAACCAACTGTGGGGTGATACACGTAAAATTCAGGGACTAGTGGAAATACGTATCCTCAGAAACAGAAGAGGAGACCATTTACACTTAGGAGTCATATGGAAGGAAAACATGGTCAAGAGGTTAACAGTGTCACCAGAGCCAAGAGCAAGTGCTAAGCGGGACACCAAGTCTGGGCTTTGCCTGAGGAGAGGGAGTGTGAGAAGACGGTTTGCTCTTTGGTCAGAGTCTTGTGGTGTTTTGTACAAATAAGCTTTGGCAGGTAAGCTCAGCTCTGACAGTACAGCTATTCATTCTGAATGAAAGAAATGGCAAAATAAAGGATTAACAAGATGTATACTGATCTTTTCTCCTTCCTATTCTTGCTCCTAAAAAATCCCTAAACAATCCAACATGAAAACCCCCACCATTCTACCAATAGTTTGAGCCAACTTCTTATAACAAGACTGTAACCATATTACTGTATTACTGCTCTGCTTAACAGCTGAAGTAGTAGTAAAATCCTGAAACACTTTGGCAGAATGAGTGTCTCCTTTTTAATTTTTGACATTTTCTCTTTCTGAAAGCCTTTTAGTATTTAGCTCTTTACTGACGTTCTCCCCCTACAGTCTTGCACTTAAAGCAGTTAATCCAACCACGTGACATATTTAAATTGTAAGTTCTTCTGCTCTAAAACTGCTGTGCATAATGAGCTTAATGTGCTCCATAAAATGCATGCAACACCTAATTTAAAAGAAGTGTTTCGACCAATGACCATAGGAAAAGTTAGGAATGTTAGAAGGCTCTGGTATTTGAGTGCCCCCCTTTTGCACATAGGCAGAAATCAGAAAGTCTGTCAAAGAGGTGGAATAGAATGGAACATAGCAGAACTAGACAATTAAAGTGAAAAGATTGTACCTTTGTATTTATTCTGCAATTTTTATTTTGTATGTACATTGACAGAACAAACCTAGGATATATTGCTCCAGTGAAAGGTAAAAAATAAAGGAAATAGGGCAAAAGAAGTAAGGCAAAACAACTGGAAAGGTGAAAAAATGGAAATTGAAAATGCTTCAGAACAGATTTATTTAAATAAGAGACAAAACAAGCAACATTAAAAATAGGTTTTAAAAATTGCAATAAATGTGTATGAGAAAAGTTTCAAGGAAGGCTTCGATGAATGGAAAAGGTTTTGCAGAAACCATGCCAAGAAAATTAACTAGAAAACATTGCATACTTCTTTTATTTGAAATGAATGTGCCAAAAGTAAGTACATCATCTTTTCCATGCCAGGAGAAAACCCTGCTGCAGTGCTTCTGAAGGCAGCTCAGGCTGGGTGTGAAGCAGAGCTGTCCTCTGGAGATGGTGCAAGTCCGAATGAAGAGGCTGGGGATGCACCGAGCTTTGCTCTGTGGAAATGACCAAAGCCCACTGCCTCTACGCTTGCAGGGCTTCGTGTGTTCCCGGGGTTTGGAGCAAGAGTGCTTTTGTGCACTGCCCGCTGCCGGCTGCCAGGCAGCACGGGGCTGGGACGTGAGCTCCCGTCTTCCACCATGTGCCCGTGAGAGCCCTGCTCGACCACAGGGCCGCTCACCGCTTCCGAGAGAAAAGGGCCACCTCCCATCTCACAGCTTGGCAGCCTTTGGTGGGTCCAGAGGGATGCGTCTTCCATATTCTTGGGGAATCATTTAAACAAATCTGTGAGAGTGCACGAGAAGTGCATGCATTATGAATGCGCATGTAGTTGTCTTCTGCCTCACCAGGTGCTTGTGGTCTATTTCTGGAGCAATCCCTAATCAGGACGCGCAGAGCCCCTGCCTGCCAAGAAGATACACCAGGTCACACAGCTTTGTGTGAAGAGTATTTTTTTAAAAGTTGAAAATTAACAGTAACCAACATCTTAACCATTCCAAATGAATGGTTGCATGCTGTATCTTTGAATTGTGTTATTGTTATAATGGTTTCTTTCTTTGTTGTAGGAATTGTTCCAAGTGCATGGGAATGATGCACATGATCCTTGGTATTCAGTTCTTAAGATGAGTTCTTTAGGAGCAGCCATGGGTAGCTTGGTTATAGGCTCATCCAGCATGGCCTTGAACACTTCCAGAGATGGGGCATCCACAGCTTCCCTGGGCAACCTGTTCCGGTGCCTCACCACCCTGAGAGTAAAGAATTTCTTCCTAACATCTAATCTAAGTGTACCCTTTTCCAGTTTAAAACTGTTACTCCCTGATAAAGAGTCCCTCCCCATCTTCCCTGTAGGCCCCCTTGGGTTACTGGAAGGCTGCTATAAGGTCTCCCTGGAGTTGTCTCTTCTCCAGGCTGAACAGCCCCAACTCTCTCAGCCTCCCCTCATAGCAGAGGTGCTCCAGCCCTCGGATCATCTTTGTCACCCTCCTCTGGACTTA